GAAACCTGTTCATGAAATGGCTCATCCTGGAGAACATCTTGCTGAGGGAAAGGAGTGAATCACAAACGGTCCAATGTTGTATGACAGCTTGGTTACGATGAAATACAGAAAGAAAGGGGGGGAAGAAGACAAGGCTTTTCATACCAAAGGGAACAGACTTTTGAGATCTCCAAGCAGGTGAGGGCAACGCAGAGAAGATGGAGCAATAGGGCTGAGGGTTGACAGGTATTAATGAGGATCAAGGAGAAGATAATGAGTCACAAAAGAAATGAGAAATCAAAGAAAAGGGAGGATGAGCTATTGGGGGATTGCTATGTAGTTTAAACTGTAGGATACAAAATGGATGATCTGAAATGTAAATCCCCACCGAGCTCACAATAATAAAACTATTTCTGTCTTCTTCTTTATTTAAAATCATTTTATTGGGGGCTTGTACAACTCTTATCACAATCCATACATACATATCTTGTGTCAAGCACATTTGTACATTTGTTGCCGTCATCATTCTCAAAATAGTTTCTTTCTACTTGAGCCCTTGGTGTCAGTGCCTCAGTTTCCCCCCTCCCTCCACGCCCCTCCCTCCCTCACTCCCTTACAAACCCTTGCAAATTTACAAAGTATTATTATTTTTTAATGTCTTACAATAAAACTCTTTCAAAAGGAAGAAGATGAAGTGGAGGTACTAAGAGATGTGTTTCAAGCTGGACTAAAGCAGAAGCTAAATATAGGGCTTCAGAAGTGTATGCATATCAACTGGAATATTAAAAACATCCGATGCCGTCTGGAAGCACACACCAGTCTGTGTCAAGAAATATGGAAGACAGCTACCAACTGGCCAGAAGAGCTCCCTCTCTGTTCAAATCCTAAGGAAAGATGACCCAGGAGAGTGGTGAAATTACCAAACAACATCATTCATGTGATAGGAAATTACCATTTTTCCTGAACACCACTCAAAAAGCTTGCAGCAATACATGAACACGGAGTTGCCAGAAAGTCAAGTCAGGTTCAGCAGAGGATGGGACCAAGGACAGCCCCGTTGACTTCACAGGGATGGTGGCTGAAAGCAGAGAATGCTGGAGAGATGTTTGCTTGTTTCTTATTGACTATGAAAGCCATTAGAGTGGTGGCTCACAACAAACTATGCATAACAGGTGGCAGAATGGCAATATCAGAACACTTCATTGTGTTCATGGGAAACCTATATGTGGACCAAGAGACAGTCATTCAAATTGAATAAGGAAAATCAGAATGCATTAACATCAGGAAATATGTGCATCAAAGTTGTATCACTATGTTTATTTATCTGGATGCTGAGCTAATAATTGGGAAGCTGGAGAATATGGGGGGGTGAGGGGGAATGAGTAATCCAGATTGGAGGCAGGCTGGTTAAAAATCTACAGTATGAACATGAGATCACATCCTCATGTTATCTGTAGGGACCAATCAATATAAAAATAATTCTCACAGATGGACCAATTAACAGTGTCAGAGGGAAAGGAGAACAGATGAAATTTGTAAGGAGTTCTTATTGATTTATATACAATCTATCTTCATGGTCCTGCTGCACAAAACTATTTTTAAGTGCTGAAGAGCAGAGATGTCTCTGTGAGGACTAAGGGACACCCAAGTCCTCGTATTTTCTACTGTTTCATGCACCGGTGGAAGCTTGCCCGTGAATCAGGAAGGCCGGGGAAGAATGGGAGCATTTGATTGATGGTGACTGTTGGTGAAGAATATTGAAAGTGCAATAATGTGGTGGAGTGAAATTACTACTTATGCTCCTTCTGTTCATTTCTCCATCACTCCTATTAAACAGACTGGGTGAGATTGTCCAAACGATGTGTAGACGACTCTAACTCTGAGATCGGTCAGTTTGTCCTCCCCTGGGTAGTAGAGAGCCAGCTCAGAGCAGGAGGAGGGAGTCCCATGGCTTTTAAGAGAGAAGGTTCACCAGTGGAGCGCTGTGAGACCCTTGCTACATGTTGGAGTCAGCACAGAGTCATGTGAGGCAGAGCAGAGGAGCAGCCACAGGGAAACAATGAGGAGAAGCAGCTGAGCAGCAGGCCGACTCATGGCCCAGGGAGGCAGGGGCCCAGGGAACACATGGCTGAGAGCCTGAGGACCAGAGACATGTTGGCTGCTGGCTGTCAAAGGGAGCTGCTGTGGACCAAAGACTGTATCCTCATGCTTTATAATACTGATGTGTGGTAGCCTGCTTTGTTTTTCAAGCCTCACTGCCATCAAGTTGATCCCAACTCAATGCTACCTTCCGGAGAGACCTTCTGGGTTTCCCATCCTGTACATCCCTATAGAATTACAGGTCCTATGACCTTCCCCCATGAGCACTCAGAATCCCGAGCACGGTCTGGGAGCTCTGTGTGGCCACTGAGAAGATGAAACATGGTGAGATACGTTCCGTGCTGTCACAGGAAGAGCTGGTGGCAGAATAGGGTGAGAGGGAATAGAGGGTTGACACAGGCCTGAACTCTGACTGTAGCTTTCACCCTTGGGCTGGTGAGAAGTTGGATTCTTCTCCCTACTGAAGCAAGCAGAGGCAGATGCAGTGCCCACACTTTCTCCTTAAGCGGACTGTGAGAAGGAACACGTCTGTCTTGGAGAATCCAGAGCCAGATTTCTCCTTAGAAGCTAGGATCATGAGACTATGGTGCCTAGGCTTTGGGAATGTTATTAGTAGGGACCTGTCCTTTGTAAATGACATCATACTTGGTACATAGAAGCTTAGCCAAAAAGATGCACTGGGCTCAAACATAACCAACGAGTCTGATACAAGACAGGGCAGGGTTGTATTTTTCTGTTGTGCTTGGGGAAGCTATGACTTGGAGACATGTACATTGCACCTAACAATGAGATGTTCTTCTTATTCAACTCTTCTAACGGAGGTATGATAGACATAAAACCAAGCATCCATATGTAAAGTGTGAAAATGGATGCTTTCACCTATTTTTCAAAAGCAAAACAAATTCCATTGAGTCAGTTCCACTCACAACAAAGCCATAGGACAGAGTAGAACTTCCCCTTTGTATTTCTGAGATGTTTAAACCTTGGTGGGAGCAGAATATCATGTGCATCCTGACAAACAGTGGTGACCACCGTTGCTTCTTGTTCCCAGTTCCAAGCACAGCTCACTATGCCCCCTCCACTCCTCTGACAAGTTCCTACACCCTTGAACACATCATCGAAATCAAGACCCTCCACCTATCCCCCATCCCAGCACCTTCTTCTCTTTGTGACCACTTGTCATCACTCTCTCTCTGCACCTCTGTCGTTTTCAAGGAATAAGGTGACTCTCTCATACTCGGGGGATTGGCACCACACACAATGCCCTCCCTTGCCAACCACTTACCTGTGTCCCGTGAGGATTGCCTTATTTCCATTTTGTAGAATGTCTAAACAAGATCACACCATACATTGCCTTATTCAATGTAGCTTCTTTCTCTCTTAATTTTTCTGAGATGGCTGCACATTCCTCCTCTTCTACTCTGCTTGGCATTTCATAGCAGAGATGACTCATTGTTTCTTTTGAAGGTCTTGGCTCTTATCAGAAGTGCTGGTGGCACAGTGGGTTGGGTGTTAGGCTGCTCACCACAAAGTCTGATGTGCCCACCCACCAGCTACTCCAGCGAGAAACATGAGATGTCTTTTTCTGTAAAGATTAAAGTCTTGAAAACCCTAGAAAGCAGGTCTTCTCCGTTCTATAGGTCACGTCGAGTTGGAACGGACGTGAGGACTATAGGGTTGGTTTGTGGATTTTTAGGTCATTTTCAGTGGTAGAGTGATTGTCTGCTCAGCAGAGATGTGTGGGAGCAAATGGGGCTGTCTGCTGTTTGTCACGATTTCCTTTCCAGAGAATCCAAATCCACATGCTGATAGATAGCATGGTATACATGTTATGATACACTCATAACATTGGTGAATCTGCTAAACACAAATAACACCCCCTGCCATGGAGTGAATTCCCATTTGTAGTGACCTACAGGGCACAGCAGAACTACCCACCCAGCTGAGTCTCTGAGGCTCTGATGTTCATGGGAGCAGGAAGACTCATATTTCCCAAGCAGATCAGCTGGTGTGTTTGAACTGCTGTCTTTGTAGTTGGGTTAGTAGAACCTGGCAGGGACTCCTGGGACTCGATTGTTGGTACCACCTATTAGACCCTTTGGAGACTGGTAAGGATTCTGCTGGACCCATGTGGCATAGTTGCTGGTGGTGACGGCACCAGTACTGGAGCCACAGGTGAGTGTGACTGTCCCTCCTGGAGTTATGGTCAGTGAGGGTTCCTGACTCAC